CAGGATCCAGGTTCAGGGAGCAGGATCCAGGCTGTGGGAGCAGGATCCAGGCTATGGAATCAGGATTCAGCTTCCTTTGGAGCAGAGCCTTGTACTGTGCCCGTGCTGGGAAGCAGCCAGTGCCCCTCAGGGGGTGCCAGTCAGCCCTGCCATCCCCACAGCTGGCAGCAGCTCCATGAGGTGCCAGATCCAACTGAAATTCCCTGTATTTGGACTCGGATCCAGGCTATGGAATCAGGATTCAGCTTCCTTTGGAGCAGAGCCTTGTACTGTGCCCGTGCTGGGAAGCAGCCAGTGCCCCTCAGGGGGTGCCAGTCAGCCCTGCCATCCCCACAGCTGGCAGCAGCTCCATGAGGTGCCAGATCCAACTGAAATTCCCTGTATTTGGACTCCAAGGTCGCTCTGCAGCTCTGCTGTGACATTCTCATGGCCTCAGCTCCCACAGAGGCACCAGCAGCTCTCCAGGGGCTCCCCCTGGCCTCTCCCCACCCAGCTGGGCTCACATCCTGAGTGGCTTTTGCAGCTCTGGCACCCACAGCTGCAGGGATTTGGGTGCTCCTGAAGAGATCAGGGACAGCCCATAAAATCCCAGAATCCCAGACTGGATTGGGTTGGGAAGGACCTTAAATCCCACCCAGTGCCAGCCCTGCCATGGCAGGGACACCTCCCACTGTGCCAGGCTGCTCCAGCCCCAGTGTCCAGCCTGGCCTTGGATGGAGCTACAAAAACATGGAGAGAGACAATTTCCAGGGGATGGGCAGGGCTGGATGGGACCTTGGCAATGAGGAATTGTTCCTGGCAGGATGGGCAGGGGCTGGGATGGAATTCCCAGAGCAGCTGGGGCTGCCCCTGGATCCCTGGCAGCGCCCAAGGCCAGGCTGGACACTGGGGCTGGAGCAGCCTGGCACAGTGGAAGGTGTCCCTGCCGTGGCACTGGGTGGAATTTGAGCTCCTTCCCAACCCAAACCATTCCACGATTCCACAAGAATTCCCCACCCCAGGCTGAATTTCTCAGTGTTTCAGCCTCAGGCCCGTGAGTGCTCAGGTAAAGAGTTCACAGTGAAAATCAGCACCAGGAGTCATTAATTAACCATTAATTCCTGTGTGTGACCCTCTCCATGCCTGCTGTGTTCCCTTGGCTGTGAATGCTCCAGGGAAATGTTCTCCTCCTGAGGAACACTGGGGCCAAGAGCAGAGCCCTGGCTCTGTCCCTCTGTTTCAGCAGCTCCTTGTGCAGCTTTCATTCCACAGCAAGGCACAAACAATCCCAAGGCAGCCTCCAGGTACCTGCTGTTCCTGCAGGGTCATTCCCAGCAGCTGCAGGCTGTGCCCAGCTCAGCTCCCTCCCACGCAGAGCTCCTGGAAAACATCCCTGAGCTGCCACCGTCCCCTGCCAGAGGTGTCACTCCTGCCCCGGGCTCCTTCTCAGCCTAGAAATGGTTCTCATGTACTTCCTCCTCAAAATCCCCCAACAACAACGGCTGAGTGTTCTGGAGAAGGATTTGCTGAGGTGCTGCCGCGGATTTAAAGCTGTGGGAAGTCCTGAGAGCCACCCCAGGGGGTGCCAAGGGCACCTTGAGTGACAATGCCCCATTCAGGTGGTCCAGGGACGTTGGTGTGTTCCTTCTCCAGACTCTTTTAACTGAGGGGCTGTGGTGGGGCTGTCAGTCATGGATGGGGAAAGGCTGGCACAGCTGGCATTGTTCACCTGCACAGGAGAAGCTTTGGGCTGAGCTCAGGGTGGCCTTGCAGGGCCTGCAGGAGCCCCAGGAAAGCTGGAGAGAGACAATTTCCAGGGGATGCAGGGACAGCACACAGGGAATGGCTTCAGACTGAAGGAAGGCAGGGTTAAATGGGATCTTGGGAGTGAGGAATTGTTCCCTGTGAGGGTGGGCTGGGGCTGGGATGGAATTCCATCCCTGGATCCCTGGCAGTGCCCAAGGCCAGGTTGGACGCTGGAGCAGCCTGGCACAGTGGAAGGTGTCCCTGCCATGGCAGGGCTGGCACTGGGTGGGCTGTGAGGTCCCTTCCAAACCTAAAATGATTTTATTATTTGATGTTGCATGGCTGCTGAGGATTTGGGAATGCAGTGCTGACAGGGTTCCTCTCATTGAGTGATTTACAGGTGGATTGGAAAGGGAAAAGAACCTTTGAGCCTCCTGTGTGAGACTGGCAGAGCAGAGGCTGTGCCTGTGAGGCTTTGGCCTTCCAGGAGCTTCTGGGTGTCCCCATCTCCTGCTCCTGGAGCTCTGGCAGCCTCGGGGCCGTGCCCATTCCCTGGGCAGCCTGGGCAGTGCCAGCAGCCTCTGAGGAAGAACCTTTCCCTAAAATCCAACCTAAATCCCTCCAGGCCCAGCTCCAGCTGTTCCTTGGTGCTGTCCCTGTCCTAGAGCAGAGATCAGAGCTGTCCCTCTGGCTGGGACACTGCTCCTGCCTGGGGGCTCAGGAAGGGAGTCCTGAACTCCAAGCAGCAGCAGGGAGCTCGGGGTGAGATCTGTGCCAGCTCCACACCAGGACAGACCAGCTGTGCAGCCCAAGGGGTTTTGGAGCTGTCGCTGGGGATGGACTCAGCCCTGGCTGGGTTACAGGTGAGAGATGAGAGGGGCTCCCCACGTTGAACTGATGCCTTGGGAAGGCTGAGCCAGAGCAGAGGCTGGACAGAGTCACAGAATAAAGCAGGGATTGATTCAAAGGATCTCCTCCATGGATCCACCTTGGGCAGCACCAGAGCCCAGCCAGGGCTGCACCCAGGATGAACCCAAATGGTCCCAAAATGCACCCAGGATGAACCCAAATGGTCCCAAAATGAACCCAAGATGAACCCAAATGGCCAGAATGTGAAAAGTAGAAAAGCTGAAACTCAAGGCATCACACCCAGGCTCTCTCTCACTGAGGGGGGGAGCCAGGAAAGGGAGACAGAGGAAATCCTATCTTTGTCTGTGGGATTCATCAAATAATTTTTTTTCCGTTCAAGAGAGAGGGAGAAAAGTGGGAAATTAATTTGTAGGGAATTCTCCAAGCCTGACAGAAGGCTCACACAGTGTGCAACTGTATGCAAACCTTGAGATTGGAAATGCTGACTCAGAAATGCCCTGGAACAGGACAGACATTGTTGGGAGAGAAATGGAGCTAGAAACAAGTTTCAAAGGGTGGTCTTGCAAAAAAGACCAAATACTTTGGAGAAACAGAACAGTGAAAGATGCATTGTATGGGACCCATGAGGGTTAATTTTAGATAATTGGCTTTAAGACATTTATAGCGTGGTGTGGCTTAAGCTGATAGGCCAAGAAACACTTATAGTGTATTGTAATTAGGAAATAATTGGCTTCTGATTGTGAATTGTAACATCTGTATTGTCTCACCCTTCTCATGAGACTGAAAATGGAATAAAAGTTTTTAAAACACCTCTCAGTTGCCCCGTCTCTGGGTCAGAAAAGAGCTTAATCAGACATTTATCTGATGCCACCCCTTGATTTTTACCCTTTTCCAGCCAAAGGAAGGAAGAAGAGCCAAGGACAGAAAATCCAAATGTTGGTGCTGTCGAACACCACGACCCTGAACCTGCTCCTCTCCAAACTGCTCCAGGAGTGCCTGCAACAGACCAACAGCTCATCTCCTTCCCAGGAGAGCAGCGCGAGCGACAGCCTGGCCATCATCTACGTGCTGCTGATGCTGGGGCTCTTTGGGTTCTTCACCGTGGGGGTGATGGTGACCAACCTGCGGGCGCGGCGCCTCGAGGGGCCCCGCGACCCCTACAACACCTACATCGCCACCGACGCCTGGCACAAGAAGGACAGGGAGTACCTCCAGGCCAAGCTCATCGAGAGCTGCAAGCTCTGCTGCGTCCTGGAGAACCAGCTGGCCGTGGAGCAGCCGGGCATGAAGATCCCTGAGGAGAAATCTTCCTAGGGAGAAGCGGGGGAGGATCGTGCGCGGCACGGGGACGGTGTGAGCGGTGCCTGCTGTGGGAGCTGCTGGCCCTTCTGCAGAGCCACAGGGCCTGGCCAGGCTGGAGGAGCAGTGCTGGTGAAGCTGATGGATCGGGGAGATCCCAGTGCTGCCCCAGTGCCCGGCACCGGCGTCGTGTGGGAATCACCGTGAGGGAACGTCGGGATTCACGCGGAACGCCGTGGACTCATCAGCTTCACCTCCTGGGCCAGGGCCTCAGGCTGGGTGGGATTTTGGGGATAAATCTGCCCTGGAGGGTGGGCAGGCCCTGGCACAGGGTGCCCAGAGCAGCTGGGGCTGCCCCTGGATCCCTGGCAGTGCCCAAGGCCACCTTGGAGCAGCCTGGGACAGTGGAAGGTGTCCCTGCCCAGGGAATGGGATGAGTTTGATCTCCCTTCCACCCCAACCCATTCTGGGATTCTCTGGTTCTCTACAAAGGCAAATCTTGGTGTTGCTGGTGTGAAATTAGAGCCTAATTAAGACCTCATTAGAACCAAACACAGGGCAAAAGTGTTAATTGCCAAGCATGGCTTAGACATCCAGAATGACCAAATTCTCACAGAACCAAACACAGGGCAAAAGTGTTAATTGCCAAGCATGGCTTAGACAATCGTTTTCCAGAATGACCAAATTCTCCAAAGAAATAGAAGCTGAAAGATTTCATTTTCATTCCAGCTTAGAATAATGATTTTGTAAATAGTAAAGTGCTGTGCTAACCTGTTTCCTTCAGAATCATGCCCCTCTTAGTGAAAAATATTAGGAAAATTTTCCTATTTTTTTGTCTGAAAAATATTTCCATGGAAGAACACAGACTTTGGAGGGAAACCTTAGTGACTGTGATGGGTGTGGCACTTGGGGACATGGTTAATGCTGGGTTAAGGGCTGGACTCAAAGGTCTTGGAGGGCTTTTCCAACCTCAGTGATTCCAGACTTCTGATTCCTAGCAGGTCTCTCTGGGGACCAGTCAATTTAATTTCCTTCCCATGGATGGGGCTCAATCCTGGCAGCAAAATCCATGTGCAAACACTGGGTGTGTGCCATGGATGTGGGGAACATTCCCAAATTTCAATCCAAATTAATTATTGCACCAGCCCCAAATGCCAGCGCCTGGCTGGGAAGGGAATTTCCACTGTGGGAAGAGCAATTCCATAATTTCTGCTGTAGAATCACCCAGAGGTGCTGTCTGTGCTTAGCTCAGATTCTGTGAGCAGCTCCCAGCTGTCCATCCAAGGATCCAACACAAAATCCAGGAAGGTTTTCCTGCCCTTCCCTCCTTTTCCCTTCTCCACCTGCCTGTGAAAGGAGAAATCCATCTCCCCTGGACATTGTGTTCCCTAAAAGAACAGCTTTGCCAGCTTGGGGCTGGTTTGGGGAGAAGGAAGCAACAGTCTGGGAAGAAGTGGGGATTTTATTTCTGCCCTGCAGACACAAATCCCATTTTTAGCTGCTGGAGAGGAAAGAGATTGGGGGAGGCTGGGGAGAAGAGCAGAGCAGCTGCTTCCAAGGCAAGGTGAGGGCAGAGAGCTTGGCGAGGGAAGCAATCCCAGCAGAGCCCTTTTCCAGGCACTTCTTTAGCACTGCACTTCCATCTGAGCAATATTCCAGCCTGTCTGTGTTCCCAGAGCACTCAGGACACTCAAAACACAGGGCTGGGTTTTTAAAATTATGTTTATATAGTGCCTACCATTAAGCTGAGGACAAGATCCATATTTTTGGTGTCTGGAGCAGCTTGGGAAATCTCCAGCAACTTAATTATCCCAGTCACTTTTTCCTCTGGGGGGAATGAAAACCCATGCCCAGCTCTGGAAAAATGTTGATTTCTCAGCTTGGGCGCTGCTCTTTTGGGATCTCACTGCTTAGGATTTGCCCTGGGAGAGGATTTGCAGAGCCAGGCCCCTGGACTTGGCTTAAACTTGCACCAAAAATTACCTTTAATGACATTAAATCATTAAACCCTTTCATTAGTTAAAACATTTAATGGCATTAAACCCTGGGGGTGAAGCTCATCCCCAGGGCTCCCTCCTGCAGCTCTCTCTCCACCCCAGGGATTTTATTTTCAGGGATTTTGGGTCATTTTATTTTCATAGCTCCAGGGGGGTTATTTGTGAGGAGGGTGATGCTCAGCATTAATTGCACCCCATTTTTTTTTTTCCTTTTAGCAGCTCTGCCTTTTTATTTAACTGAAATTTAAAAAAGAGAGGAGCTTTGCTGTGCCGCCCTCACCCCTGGGTGCCTGTGGTGGATTCCCACCTTTCAGTCTCGGAGTTCTCTTCCCCCACCCGTTTTTTTCACTCATACAAAGCAATAAAATCTGAATTTCAAGCACTGCTCATGGCCTCGGATGTTGTTTTTTCCTCCCGACCTGTTCCACAGGCTCGGGGCAGATCCTCCCCAGGGGCACCCACTCACCCGTCCCCTCTCTCCACCCGATTAACCAGGCCCGGATCTCTCCCGGAGCTGCACAGAGATGGAAATGTCAGCGCTGAATTCCTCACCTGGAGCTCACTCCCCGGGGTTTGCAGCCCCCAGGGCTGGCTGGGCACCGCTCCAGCTCCATGGAATGGCAGCGGGCCTGGAAAAAGCCATGGGGGTGTGGGAGTGAGTCCAGGGGAAGCCATGGAGATGTTCTGAGGGCTGGCAGAGCTGGGGGGGCTCGCCTGGAGAGGAGAAGCTCCAGGAGAGCTCAGAGCCCCTGGCAGGGCCTGAAGGGGCTCCAGGAGAGCTGCAGAGGGACTGGGGACAAGGCCTGCAGGGACAGCACCCAGGGAATGGCTTCAATGGGATTTTGGGAATGAGGAATTGTTCCCTGGCAGGCCCCAGAGCAGCTGGGGCTGCCCCTGGATCCCTGGGCCATCCCAATCCCCAACCCAATCCTTCTGGCAGTTTAAATCCTGTCCCTACCTGCCCACATTAAATCCACCCTCACAGAGCCGCGAGCGTGGCCCAGGCTCAGCCTGGGGACAGCCAGGTGACAATTCCAGCTGGAAGAAAAGCTGAGGGCAGCTCTGAGGGGAACCCATGCCAGGAATGAGTCCAGGAGTTATCTGCAGGCAGCCCGGAGCCAGGGAAGAGAATCTGTGCTCTGACCTGCTGAGATTGAGGGCTCAGCCTTTGCCCTCCCCATCCTGGAGAACCCCAAGCTCTTATTTCCCACTTCATGGAGAACTTGCACCTGCAGCAGGTGGGGTTTTATTTTACCAGCAGAAAATATTATTATTTATTTTACTTCAGGGCTGCAGGGATGGGAGATGAAACCCCTGGGACTGAACAATCCAGCTGGAAAATCCTTCCCAGCCAAAGGCTCTGTGAGGCTGGAATGAGTTGCCCTGTGCCATTTGGAGTTATCAGGGCTATCTTTATTTGCAGCTGGCTGGGTCAGACCTGCTAAACCTGGAAACTTGTTCAGAGACAAGCAGGAGGAAACTGATAAAAATAGAAGATAGGAGCAATCAGAAGCCAGCAGAACATTCTTTACAGCTGATAACTGCTCTTATCTCGTGTGATATTTCTCCGGCATCCTGTTTCAGTTTTACACGTTGTTATCACTGCCCCAAACTCGGTCCCCAGTGTCCTGATCCAGCTGGAGCCCTCAGCTGGGCACGTGGAAGCTCCAGGGAGCTTTTCTCAAGGAATGGCTGCAGGGAGCAGCACAAACCCGGCTCGGGAGCTGCGGGAGCCAGCGGGAATGTGGCAGGAGCCATCCAGAGGGATCTGCACCAGCAGCTCCACAAGGGCCCGTGGGAATGTGCTGAGCTCCAGCAAGGCCAGGGCTGCACTTGGGACAATCCCGGGATCAATCCAGGCTGGGATGAGCAGATGGAGCAGCCCTAGGAGAGCTGGACCTGCCCCAGCCCAGAGCCCCCAGCTGGGATCAGGAGAGGGATTGGGATTGTGTCCCTGTGTCCCCTCAGGTGAGAGCCCACATGAGAGCTGCCCCAACCCTGTCCCAGCCCAGGAGGAGCTGGAGCTGCTGCAGAGAGCCCAGAGGAGGCTCCAGGATGAGCAGAGGGATGGAGCAGCTCTGCTGGCAGCAAAGGCTGGCACAGCTGGCATTGTTCACCTGCACAGGAGAAGCTTTGGGCTGAGCTCAGGGTGGCCTTGCAGGGCCTGCAGGAGCCCCAGGAAAGCTGGAGAGAGACAATTTCCAGGGGATGCAGGGACAGCACACAGGGAATGGCTGCCAGTGCCAGAGGGCAGGGCTGGATGGGATCTTGGCAATGAGGAATTGTTCCCTGGCAGGGTGGGCAGGGCTGGCACAGGGTGCCCAGAGCAGCTGGGGCTGCCCCTGGATCCCTGGCAGTGCCCAAGACCAGGCTGGACACTGGGGCTGGAGCAGCCTGGCACAGTGGAAGGTGTCCCTGCCATGTGCTGGAATGGGATGATCTTTAGGTCCATTCCAGCCCCTGGGGATCAGGGGTTGATCCCAAGCTTTTCTCCTTTGGCACAGCCCCAGCAGCTCTGTCTCTTCTGTCTCCCACCATTTCCATGCTCATCCTCCTCCAGGTTTCCCTGCAAGCTCCAGCCCTGGCCTGCAGCCCCAGGAGCTGCCCTCTCCTCAGCCCTAGCAGGATCTCTCCCATTGTTCCCAACAATGGATCCCGAGCTCCATTTCCTTTTTCCTGGTGACCTGCAGCTCCAGTGGCAGCAGGGATTTCTCAGGGCATCACGTATCCAGCAGCTGCTGTGCACCTGAACCTCCAGCCTCTGCTCTGCATCCAGGGACTTCCAGCACTTTTTGTCCTGGCAGGGTTTCCTCAAGGCTTTATTTTCTGTTCCCACCCAACGGTGCCAAAAGGAGCTGGGAAAAGGCTGCAAACATGAATCTCACACCAACCCTGCAGGCAGATCCTGCCCATTCCACCTCTGGAACTCCCCCCAGCAGCCACATTCCCAGGGACTCGGGCTGGGTCGGATCCTGAGGGATAAACCATCAAATCCTCCCCATGATTTTATTTTTTCACCTTAATATGCAAAAATTGTGGTGCAGGAATAGGAAAACCAGCACGGACATCACTCAGGGACCCTCTGGGATTTACCCAGGGTGGGGCATGCACCCAAAATCTCTGATCTCCTTCCATTTCTGGTTTTTCCTCAGAAAAAGGGAGATCTCTCTCTACACTACCAGCCCAGCTGTTTTTCCATCCAAATCCTGACCTGGAGAAAGGGATTGTGACAGAATAAAAGGCATTTTGAATAGCAGGAAGAAGCTGAGAAACAGCCTGGTTCATGCCAGAGCTCCAGAAATGTTTGGACACCACTCCCAGGGGTGCCCAGGATGGGATTGTTGGGGGGTCTGGGCAGGGCCAGGGCTTGGATTCAATCCCTGGGGTCCCTTCCAGCCCAGAATATTCCATTATTTGATCCTGGTCCCAACCCCAGAGGTGCTGCACAGCTCAGTGCACAACACAGGCAATAGAAATAGTCATTATTTAATAAAAAATAATTTAATCCAACCTCTGCACATTCAACAGCCTCTCCTGGATTTTTCCATGTGCGTTTTGCTCCTCATTTCCACTCCCAAGAGTCACTGA